GGTCTTTGTATTGTGCTAATATTATCTCTTCGAGAGCGGCAGCCAGAGTGACTTTAAGCCACTCCGTTAGATCGATCTTTGGATACCCATCTTGCATAGCTTGGACTTCTAGGAAGCCCCTCAACAGCCTCGACGTTCGTCCCTAGGATCAAGGACTGGTTCAGTCTTCGAGTGCCGTGTACCTCAAAGTAAGCTCTCATGGAGCTGATCCAGAACTCAACATCGTCCTTGCCATCATATCTAGACGGTATCATCACCTTCTTTCTGTCCATGTATGGATTGCTATAGCTGGGACCGGCCATTGCTGGGTCCAATCTCGGGGCTGCAGCAGTTGCAGAATTTCCTGCGCTCTTGCTTGTAGCGGAAGTGGAATCTGCACCTGTTGCAGGTCCTGGCTGATTTGCCACCAAACTCAACGAAGAAGAAGAAGGAGAAGAAGGAGGATGGAGAGGTGCAAAGGTAGAACGGTTAGCAACAAGAGGTAGGGGAAGAGAGATTGAGATATGGGTCTGATGCATGATTGCGATCTGTTGTATCTGATCGCAATGCTCCTTGGCCATATCAGCCATCTAAGTACGCAGCCGACTCATGTAGCTGGGATTTTATACTCGGAAGCTCGCTGAGCAAATGGTAATCTACGACGGTACATACGTACTTGACCAGATCTTTCTTAACATCTGCATCAGGCATGATTGAGATTGTTCTGAAAATGGTCTCAAGATCTTCAGCAGCTTCTTTCGGCTTAGCCTCTTCCTCCTTCTCCTCCCTGGCCATTTCCTTTTGATAGAGGGCCTGGTACAGCGGTTTACCCTCATTATCTGCTGCATCTACTCGAGCCTTTAGAATATCAGAAATCCTGGGCGGTGCCATGCTGGAACCACTAGATCCTTCAGTTGCAATGACCTCTCTCTCTCTTCTCTCTTGTCCACACGTCGTGACGGGCATAAAATGGATTTCAGTAAAAGAAACAAACTGAAAGCACAAGAAGAGAAGGTAGAACTCCTAGCCGGAGCGGCAAAATATTTGGACTAGAGAGCAACCAACAAAAATAAAATGAGATAATTCAGAAGAGAGTTCTGACTCCGCGTTAGAGTCTGGTCTGACTAAGTACTAGATCCCCTGGAGTCTAATCCGATCAGCACCGTCAAAGTATAGCAAATCAGACTACAAGTTACAACATACAGCAATTGAGAATTGAGAGGTGCGGGTCAAGCATTGGATTGTGCGTCATCAGTCCACAAAACATCTCAGCCAAGATCCCCTCGGCATCAAGTGCTCTGATAAAAAAGAAAAGCAACGAATTACAGACAGAAAAGAGAGTGACACTGCAACAACAGATTTGTGTCCAAGGGGCCCTTCTTGTTTGGGGCCGGTCCCACTGAGTCCCTATGGGTCTCACGTAGGTCCCATGTAGGTCGCGACCAAGTCCCAAGAAAGAAGAGTACCACAAGGTCCTACTTTCTGCCTCTACCGTACTGAAAAACGGATTTCAATTCTACAGACTACATCCATTCAAAATGAAAAGGCAAAGCACTGTATAAAGATATGGCATTCAAAGTAAGGTACATCTCTCCATCCATCACGTCAGTAAGCAGTTCGCACACCAATGCACACAACCAAGACTTCAGAGGAGTAGGAAGTCGACCCAGAAGTACCCCAACAGGACAAACAATACCATGCACGCACACATGGGCAACGCTTAGGTGCACGACACTCACCTGAGTGACCCGGACTCTGAGATGAAGTATAACTCACCCTCCTTCCTCATATGGTCCTCCTAACCCTATTCGCGCTACCTCTACGCTAGTGTCCTATCATATAGGAGAGTCTGACTCCAACACCAAAGTGCAACGCTGGATCCCCCGCAGACGCTGAAGAACAAAATAGCAACTTGCAGTCTGTAGATGCAGAATGGCTACCTCCCTCAAGATCGCCTACTTGAGGGAGGCCCTTAAGTCACTAAATGTCTCTGTCGCATACCGTAACGGTGCAGACCAGAACCAGAACCAACCTCTCTCACAAAGTACAAGATAGCGTAGCGGAAGACTTAAATACCAATGATCCGAACAATCAATGTTGCAATGCAGCCCTGAACATACATCATCATCATTCCATGGTGTGAAGGGGCCTGACGCCCACACAGGAAGAATGCCCCAGTCCCCAACCATACACAGACGAAGAAGAGGGGGGTTAGACGAAGAAGAAGGGAATGTCGTCAGTCACCAAGTCTTCGGTACAGGTCCCAAATAATCCCTCGTCAAATGTCTGAATCCCAATGTCGAGTCTGTATCCAAATGTCGTCAAGTTCCATAGTCACCAATCTCTCTCTCTCGTAGTCTGCAGATACTGAGAAGTCAGGTAGTGAGAGGGGGAGGAGGAGATGGTGGACTTAGAAGAGGAAGAAGAAGAACTCTCTCTCTCTCTCTCNTCTCTCTCTCTCTCTCTCTCTCAGTCCAGTACTAACCTGTGAAGGTGGCGCCTTGTTGCAGGTACATCGAAGACGAAGCTGGAGCTATGGCGCCACAGGTAAGTCTCCCTGGCCTCCGCCAACCATCTCTCTCCCTCCACTACTACTCTACCTCCGGATAGCGCCCAGCGCTGAAGACTACTGCTAACACTACTACTACTACTTCAGTGCTCGTCCAGAGTGCTGCTGCCGAATCCTGAAGACTGCCTCCTGCCTCCTGCACGTGAAGTGCCTGGGAAGTTCCTAGGAACTACCTTGTGACTGTCTGCAGCCTGTAGGGCGGGCCAGTCCTATATAGTGCTGGCCCGTCCAGGAGGCTGCTCTTGCCAATGCCAAAACGTGCCAGACCCTGGCGTTGAAGTTCAAACAAGGGCTGTCTTGAAAACAGGCCAAAAATGGCCTGTGCTAAAACCCTGGTCTGGTGCCTAAGTTTCAGGGCAGGTCGATCTTACGAGGGCCCGAAAATGGCCCTCTGTTTCAGGCTAAAAAGACTCAGGGCCTGGAAGGCCCTGTTTTAGGCTGAAACGACATAGGGCCTGAAGGCCCTCGTTTTCAGGCTTTCAGGCTGAAACAACACAGGGCCTGTAAGCCCTTGTTTTCAGGCTTTTAGGCTGAAAACGACATAGGGCCTGTAGGCCCTTGTTTTCAGGCTTTTAGGCTGAGAACGCTGGTCGGGCCCTGCAGACCCGTGTGGCTGCGCAGTATGCCACAGTCTCCCTTAGGTCACATTCCAGGTGTGAGTGCCTCGCACTGGCGCCTCTCTCAAATTGTCGCATGAAGTCCTCTTGATGTGTCTCGTAACCACAAGGTCACTCTCAATCAACCTGGTCAGGTTCAGTGTCGACCCAACACGACCTAACCAGGTGGGGGCAGCTTCCCTAATCCACACTGCCCCACTTCCCGCTTCGGACCAACCCGAACCCTAAGCCGTCAGCCCTAACCACTTAGGTTAGGGTTAGGGTAGATCAGTCAACTCTCACCAGCAAGTAGAATCGGCTCTGATATCAATGTTATGATCCTGTCTAATTTCGAAGTACACATTCATCAGGAAGTACAATGCCGTCCAATTGCAAAAAGAAATGAATGATCTTGAGAGGAGAGAGAGGGAAAGAAGAAGAAGAAGAAGAATAAAGAAAGAAGAAGAAGAAGAAAGAAAGAAGAAGAAGATGATGTACACCAGCATAGACCAATGATAATGCTCTTCTTCTTCGCCAATCACTCTCCTCCTCCTAATCTCCTCCCCTCTTATTCAATCAAGAAATAATAATAATAATGTTGAACGGCTGAACCATAATCAATGTCCGAATCCCTCTTCTACTGCAGGTATCACATGAGGTCCATCATAGCCATGGCACCGTCCTCTTCCTCTTCTCGAAGGCCTAGGCTATGGCGGACTGCTTGCCTTGCCCCGATGTGCAGAAGACAACTCAAGCAGCTATGGCTGCTCTAGCTCAGGCCACCATGCCTGACTCTGCCTCGAAGCTTCTTGGTGCCCACCAAGTTGATGAAGTTGGCAACCACCATAGCCAGGCAAGTGCCTCTGGCTCTCCCCCTTCCTAGTCCTGGTCTTCTTCCTCCTCCTGTCCTTGCTCCTTCCCCAGCAGCGCTGCTCCAAGCTAGCGCTATTCCAGCCAGCACTCTAACCAGTGTGTCGCCAAACTTGCACACCGACAATGAGGAGGAGCACCTTGCTCCTCCTGGAGATATAGCGGCCTGCTTGCCTCCAAGCAACCGGTACCTCCTCCCTTTCGGAGGTAAACATCATTGCAGACTCTGATATTGCCCATACAGGCCCTAAACTCAGACTGGTTGGGCTGGTACCCGCCTAGACCTAGCCTGCAACTACTGGGCATCTAAAAATGCCATTTTTTGTCTTTTTCTGCTCGGCGTCGAGTACCCGGCACGTCTACCTCTACTTGGTGTGGTATCGGCCTACCTGCTACTTGCGTGTTTTCCGCTGTTCTAAGTGTCGCGGGCCTCTTTCCCCGCGACTTGAGTGTTTTCCCCGCTGCAACCCTCAATGTCACGGCCACAGGTAAGTACCGGCCCTTCAGGCCTTTCCGAACAACCATGTGCCCTTGCGGGTCACACACACACGCAAGCCGGCAAGCACTCAGACAGGCATGCAGACCAGCAAGCATGCACCCTCACAGACTTAGAGAACTCAGCGACAAGTGGGAAACTCAGTAAGGCATACATGCCATGAGCAAAACTCAGATCAGCTGTGTGTCTCAGTCCGTGTTTGGCAGGTCATTACGCATCCGTGTTCAACAGAAAGGGTGTGCTCAGGCGACAGAAGGTGTCTTCACTGCATCTTGTGCTGGTGTTATATTCTGTCATCATAATCCTTAAATCCTCACGTGAGTATGGGGAAAGGGCCCCTTTATTGAAGGCGTTGTTTACCATGAATGTACTTCGTTCACAAGCGGCTGGTATGTGTAAGATAGCAGAGGAGGTAGTGGTGCCACTTTGAAGACAAATTCTGACAGGTGTCAGACTTGTGGCTGTGTTGTCCTTTTCCTGCTTTTGGTAGATGTGGAACAGAAAAATGGCAGCTAGAAAATCAGCACAGCGATCAGGCAATGTGGCAGATGCTGGGAACGAAAGCTTGTCCTCATTCCAGCATGTTTGGTGTGGTTTATTTGCTGGGACCTTCTCAAAGGCATGCTGTCATCCCCTCGATGTCGTGAGGAAACGTTTTCAGGTATAACCACATGCCTGGCGCTCGTGTGAAAGAGCATACCGAAGCTTCGCTTGGCATTCTCCTTCTCCACTCCAGCATCTTGCAACCCTTTGACATCTCTCTGCAACCCCTTCGGCTAAAGCGTTCCCCAGGGACCCTTGACAGTTCTGTCTCCTCTCCTGTCCTTATACAATGCATCTGACACCTCTTGACAGTTCTTTTACCTCCCACTCAATCCACCGAAACCATGTTATGATGCTGGTCAACAGTCTTTGTGCCCACCCTATCCTGCAAACCATTTTGCATCTCATGTTGGTTTCTGTTACTCGTGTGTGTGTGTGCGTGTGTGTGTGTGTGTTCACCATGCGGAGCAAAAAACATTACTCTGGCAGACTGTTTCATTGGACTTCGACCGACTCATCAGGAGGTTGAATCTCGACAGTCTTCCCAGGATGCATTTGACTGATGGATAAGGACTAACCACATCGCCCAGAGTTAGCGAAACCCCTGAGAAAAGTGGTTGGCTTTACTCATATCAGAGTGTGTGTGTGTTCTTAAAAAAGCACCCCAAATTCTCTCTCTCATTCCCTCCACAAATCATAACAAACCATCCATAACGAAAAAGTATAAATAGACAATATAATAGAAAATGCAAGGTTGGCCACGTTTGTGCAGTTCGGCGCCAAGTGCCCACACACCCGTCTGGTGCGAAAGCGGCACACTTGCACAGCCTCCTGATGAGTCGGTGAAACTCCTGCAAGGAAAATGAGCAGTAGCGAAAACCAATGTCAATGAGAGCTCGCTCTCGCCACCACCGACACAAGAGTCCAGGACCTTCTCCCTACTTGGCGCTCGGCGCCCAGCCTACTTCCTACACAGCTGCAATCTGCCTACTAATTGACAATCCAACTGTTGACGTCAGCAGCCCATGAAGTACTTGAAGATGTCGCTCATTGCAGACCATCACCAATACCAGGTATGTGCCCTCACATCATCATCATCATCATCATCCTTCTCTCTCTCCCCTGACTTGCACCCACGTCTTCCCTCTGTACACCCAAAGATCACCCCTGCGCCTCACTGTAGTCCAAGCCCCAGTCAGCTATGGAGGCTGGGCTATGGCGCTGCCCTCAGCAGCACCCTCACTCACACACTCACACACGTGCTTGCACCTTGCCTCTCAGCGCCAGCAGCAGCCCACGAGCGTCTGCTCCAGCAGCGCTGCCGCTAGCATGCAAGTGCCTGACTCCTCCCCAGCCAGCGAGCTCTTTTCCTATATGGAAAGAGCCTGCCTCCCACGGTGGCCTGGCTGGCCTGGGCCTCTGCCCAGAAGCTTCTGGTAGGCCCCAGGAGGCTGTGCCTCCGATGCAGCTCCTGGGCCTCGTTCGGTTGGGCCTCCCAACTGTACGTGTATGAGGCTGCGATTCTTGCCCAGGGCCTCGCACTCCGACGAAACAGTTTGTCACAGCCCCTCCTCTGTTGTCCTCTTCTCCCGCTCTGCCTACGGTTTACCGGGCAGTTCTTTTTTATGATATATAGTATATACATGTATTTATTTCTTAATCCATAAAAGGGTGGAGGACAAAAGGCAACTTACCTAAGACAGAGGACTCCACCAGCAAGAAAGCGCCGAACCCATCCGCCATAGGTCCGAAAAAACTCTGCGTCGGCCCACATACCCACAAACTTAATTAAACAAACCCAACGGCATAAAACAAAGCACCAACCACACATGCCAATGGTCTAAAAAAACTTTACAACCCTCTGCGACGGCCTACAAGTGTCTGTGTGAGTGCAGTGTGTGTGTGTGTTAGTAACTTGTCACCAGAACAACCTCTTTTTCCACCTAGATGTGTAGATCCAAAATGGAAAGAGCCTTACCAGGCAATCTCCTGTCAAGCTATAGGTGATCTTTCAAATGATTGTAAATTTGTAATATTGACATTATATTGTTCCTTCACGACATGTGTTAAAATTGGTTCACGACATCTGTTAAAATTGGAAGGATATAGAGACGATTGGCATGCCCCCTGCGCAAGGAAAGGGAAAGTAATGTTTTGATAGTTGTAACGTTCTGCTGAGAGGTGCAGTGCCCACTACAGTTGTGTACATGGAAGGATGACCCCAAGCGGGCATACATTGTGTCAAGGAAGTCACTGCAGCTTTGAATTTCGCTGAATTGTTACAGATATGCTCAAACCTTGTTAGCTGTCCCATGAGTACACCTGCGAACTGACAAGCCGAGATATGATAGGAAGCGTTGGGATCGTGTATAGCTGGGAATGTCAAAGCCTCAGCCTTATCAAATACGCAAATGGGAAGAGAGCCATTTGGGTAAACCAAGGTCCATGCCCCCAGGAATATAAGTGAACCGTCATGTTGCGTAGTATTTTCCCCCCTGCAGAATATACCGAGCAGTAAGGCATATGCACATGATTCGCATAGATTCCTCTTAACGAAGTTCATCAATGAGCTGTGCCCCGTACCAGTAGAACATAAGAGTGGCAATTTCTGGTCCAGCATTAGTAATTTAGTACCAATAGGAGTACTACTCACTACTCATCTGGAGCAGACTACTGGCCAAGAGAGTCCATGGAGGGTAATACACAGTGGCCTCATGGAGGGATGATGAGAAGAGAATGTGCAACAACAGGTGTGTGCTCACTGCACACTGCTGTTCATCAGGATAACGACTGATCAAGAAGAGTCTCACAGCAGTTAGAATTGATCTTTGCTGTGAGCTTCCAGAGCTAGGGACATCAACTTTTGAGGTGGGGAACTGCACCAAATATTCTAAAAAACCTGAGTGTTTCCACCTGATACTCCTGCTTCAGCAAGGCCATTCCTCTTCCCTTGATAAGTATGCCAGTTAACGGATGGTTTAACCTATTGCGGCTGAACCCCCACGAACTAAAAGCTTCATCCTACCATTGTTCATGCACTGAGACCAAAATAGTTTTCCTTATCGCAAGAGGGACATGGCAACTCTTCCAATTTAAACCAATGTCCCAAAGGAATCCTTTCATGTTTCTTTAATTATATTGATAGTTACAGATGATGAATTCAGCCATGACCCCGGGGCACTGACACGCACGGTTGTTGACTTCTTTGTGTATGTGTGGTGGGGGCAGGTGAGGGGCTTGATGAGAGATCCTCGCTATGGCGCAGTTGTTTCAGAGAGTATGTATCAGGGAATGGTAGATTGCTTCAGAAGAATACTTGCTGAAGAGGGTGTAGCTGGTCTTTACAAAGGTACCGTTCCGTCAATTATCAAGGCAGCACCGGCTGCTGCCATCACATTTGTCGTCTATGAGACGGTTTGCAGATGGCTAACTTCTTTGTCTGTCGCAGATAAGTTCGGAGAGCACGGGAAGGAGACAAAAGGTGGTGAGGTAGAATAGCGGGTCAGGTAGCCACCCATGACTTCTTGCAAGGTTTGAAGAGTACTCTCTCTCCACTGTCGTGGTGGGTACTGAGATTGGGGGGGCACAGAGAAGGGGAAGGAGGTGGGGGAGTTGTAGTGTTGGAGTAGGCGGATGTGTTCGAACTTTGAAGGTACGAGGCTGCAGTAAGGGAGCTGCTTCTTTGTCCACAATGCCGACGTTGATCATGTGAGATAGAAGGAACCTTTAAAGAGGTGAAGAGGTAGAACAGTGGGTCAGGTAGGTACGCAAGACTTCTTGCACGGTTAGAAGAGTACTTTGTCCCCGATCTCCTGGTGGGTACTGAGATTGGGTGGGCATGACAGAGGGGAAGGAGGTGGGGGAGTTGTAGCGCTTTAGTGTTTTAGTAGGCAGATGTGTTTGAATTTCGAAGGTAAGAGGCTGCGGTGCGGGAGCTGGTCATTTAGTAGTGTGCTGCTTTATCAGGAATACAAACGTTGATTATTGTGAGATGGAATGAACAAGGGTTCTCACAAAGAAGGGGGGCTGGGTTTCATTTCCCACGGGCGGAGATGAAGATCACAGACACACCTTGTAGGGAAAGCTGTTCCAGCAAGACCTTGGACTAGTTTTATGGACCAACCACTTCAAGCCCCAGTTGCATTGCTAACGGTTTGACATTGATAGAGGAGAGGGAGTTGACGAGGGAGAGGTGCATTGCCCCAGAGGAGATGGGGAGCAGGTACAGAAGTATGCATGGTTGGGTGCAGCTGATGGCCCACGAACGAATGAACAGCTTACTGTGTCGATGACAATGGCTGGGTAAATCTTCCCACCCTAAACTGGACTGGCGTCTGTTGGCATGCGGATGAGATGTGGAAGGAAGGGATGTCTAGGAGAGAATAAAGGTGAGCATGAAGGTAAGCTGAGACTAGCTATTTGCGGTTGGTGAAATGGGATCCCTTTTCCTTTGCAGTTCTGCTACTATCTTGTGGCAGCCGAGTTTTCAGTTTGGTCGCTGGAACCAATGTTGAGAACTGTTCCTGGATAACCCAGGGAACAACTTGTTGGTCTCTATGAAAAGAATCCTGATAGGGGGTCTTGTAATCTGCGATGTTATCGTCACAGCGAAGGTGCTTCTTGGTAAGGAAGGCAGAGATGATACCCCAAAGCATTATGCAGGTGATGAACATTTTGCAATCCTTGGAGGGCATCTGGAAACCATGCCTATCAATGGTTCAAAAGATAATGTTTGTGGCAGAGTTTGTGGGGGCGTGGAATGAAATGGTTGTTAGTCATGTGCATGTCCTTGTACCGGTGCAGGGCGCGTTGGAACAAGACGAAAATCATTTGGACGTTTTCGGGTGGTCCGAAGGTTCTGAGTGATGTGTGTACGTGGCAGGTGGGTTGCTTAGGTGGTGAATAGAATGGTTCACATTTATCTGGTTATAAGGGTCACGATCTTCTGGGGGCTGACCTTATTACTGCGGTAGCATGAAAGTGACTGGTTTTCCCTGGCCAGATTCATGATTCCTGAGCATGGACATTGAACCAACGAGCTCTGCTCCTTGATGTGCAGAACCCTAACAAAAGTGGGTGTCTATGTCGTCGCTATCCTGTGTGCAGATTGGGTCAGTGGTGGAAGTTAACTCGGACATTTGAATGTAGCTGTATATGTCATAACTATGCCTCGGATGGATTGGGTGGGTGGTTGGAAAAAAATGAAATTGTAACTCGAATCTAGTTCATGCCACTTCATGATTTCCAAATGTCACACACATGGCTGAGCTTAGTGGGGGACCTGATGTCTCTCAATCGGAAGTGCTGTTTGTCTGCCAACATGGCACCATAGCATGTTACCTTCAGGACTCTCTCTCTCTCTCTCTCTCTCTCTGTGTGTGTGTGTGTGTGTGTGTGTGTGTGTGTGTGTGTGTGTGTGTGTGTGTGTGTGTGTGTGTTACATGCACAGATATGTGATGTTTGTAAT